GGTAGTGATCGAGCACGTCGAGGTGCCTCCCGCGGATGACGTGAACAACAATCATTCGGGGTGATGAGTCGGATGGTTGGTCGGATGTGGAGGCTCGGTTATGAGCCCCAGTCATTCATTACGAGCATACACGAACGGGGTCTCTGTCGTGCCAACGACGCGTATCGGTGCGTCTTCAAATCCCTATATGTACATACGGTTCCCATCTGAAAGGCTCAGGCTGCGCGATCCGCAGTTTCGTGATGGCCTCGTCGAGGGCGTACGCGATATCGTCGGGGTCGATGTGATCTGATTCGCTGCTGAATATGTTCTGATATATAGACCGAGCTATCTCCGGCCCGTCTGCATCCGCCATTGACCTGTGTAATCTTAACTGTGAGTAGGTATGAAAGAGTCGAGAAGCCCCAAATAAAACAAACCAGAGCGTAGCGACGATACTTTTGAAGCCTGCGAAAAACATAGCAGCAGCGAGGTGGACTACCTGCTCAGGCTGTACCTGGATGGGCGTGTCCGTGAGTCGCACCATCGTAATGATAAGCGGAATCGACGCTCACAAAGTCCCCCTTGGCTGTTTCGCAGGCGCTCAAGAATGCCATAACCGCACGCGGGAGCGGTACAGGCATGAGTCGTTCGATCGTCAATTTCTCATCACGCAGAATGGATCCGCTGTTCAGTGGGATCTCCAGATCTTGGTGGCCGTGGCACGTCGTGGAAAACCTCGTCTTCGGAGAGGAGTAACTTACGTGCCAAGGACGGAGTCCAGAGCAACCGGCATCGCTCATTGTAGGCTTGTACTCACGGCCTCCTCCGTTGTACATTTCGAACCAATAACATATATTGGCGCATGCTCAAATCCCTAGGTGTATATACGGTGCCCATCGGAGCGGCTCAGGCTGGACGGTTCGCAGTTTCGTGACGGCCTCGTCGAGGGCGTACGCGATATCATCGGGGTCGATGTGATCCAAGTTGCTGCTGAATATCTTCTGGTATACAGATCGAGCTATCTCCGGCCCGTCCGCGTCCGCCATGGACCTTTGCAGTCGGTTGTAAGTCGATACCATAGAAGTGGGAAGCTGCAAACCGGGACTGACCACAGCGTAGCGATGACGCTTTTGAATCCCGCGAAGAACATGGCGGCGGCGAGATGGACCACCTGATCAGGCTGATTCTGCATGCGCACGTTGTTCGGTCGCACCATGATCTCGACTGGTATTGGTACTCACGAAGTCACCTTTGGCTGTTTCGCAGGCGCTCAAAAATGCCATGAACGCGCGAGGGAGGGGTACAGGCATCAGTCGTTCGATCGTGAGTTTCTCGTCACGCAGAATGAATCCGCTCTGCAACGGATTCTCCAAATCTTGATGACCATGGCACGCGAGGTGAAGGATGTTCGTCTGTGGGAGCAGCTTTAGCAGCGTCTCTGTCGTGATCCCGTTTCCGCCCTCAATGCAAGCGTCGTCTGCGGGAGGCAGCTCTATTATGGCTCCGCTTGGTAAGACGGCACGGATCGCTCTCGCTTCTTCGCGAGTGTTGATGAGGTCGCTCCACTGCGATATGCTAGACCGAGGCGTTGCAGCGACGAGCGCTTGCACGTCGTCCTTGAGGATGGGCGAATACGCGTTCCTGGCAGCGAGAAGGGACCCGATGGTCGGTATGTAGGAGGAGACGACGTAATCTGAGCACCACTCTCCGCCAGCACCGGCTGCATGGATCGGTAAGTGAGCAAAGTTTCCAGTAGGGCACCACCATATGCGAGGACGGTTTCGACCTTCGGAGGGCTAGAAGCAACTGGTGAGCCTTATACCACGATAATGTAAAGGGTGATCTCATACTTCGAGCCCTAGCGCCTTGATCACCGGTCTCACCACCTCAATCCATAATTGGCGCAAGATCTCCTCGGCAGCCGTCCTTCGAGATTTCGAGATTTTTGATTTTTCCATCTTTCTGCAGTCGCGCATCTCCGCCCTCGCCTCCACGATGATCGATCGCCACTCCGTGCCGGAATGTGCGAGCCAAGTATCAGGAAGACGCTCGATAGGAATGCTGACACAGTCACCCCCCTGCTTGAGAAGGATAGCGTGGCACCCCAGCGCACTGGAAACCAACACTACGACCGGACCTCTCTCGGAGGCCTTTCTCAGCGTCGTAAACTCGTCGTGCAGCAGGAATCTGTCCAGTCCAGGTAGTTTGCGGACCTGGTTGAGCAGCACGTTGAATTCTTCGATCTGACCTCTTCTCCGTGCGATCTCCGCTTCGACGGCACCCGGGTTCTCGCCCGTAAACGAGCTGTCGCGCACTTTCTCCAGCTGTCGGGCAAGGATCAACAACCTATCTCCGATCTCCTTGGGCGCCACGTCGAACGGAGAGCGCAAGCGTAGTGCATGGGTCCAGAAGACCGCACGGCCCTGCTCAAGGATTTCCAATGCTTTGTCAGGTAAGCCGATGTTGAGCGCGTGAGATGCGCCGGTGAGAGCGATGCTCTGGCCGATAGCCAACGACTGGAGTCGGGTATGAAGATGAAGATCAAAGAAAGCCACTCGGGGCAGAAGTCCCACCACAAGAGCGAAGATATCCAGCAGTTGGCGATCTTCTGCGGCCTCAGAGGATCCGGAGACGATATCCTGATATTGCGACACAGCGATATCAAGTATGCGTCGTGCTCCTTCAATCCGAGAACGAACGTCCCGGTGTTCGTCTGATAGAGCACTGGCTAAATGCGAGAGTGCGACCCGGATACTCCGGTAAGGTGTTCCTATCTCCATGTGGAGTTCTGCTGTACTCACGAGGTACTGATACCTCTCAGGACGCCCGGGAGGCAGCTTATCCAATAAACCAGTCATAATCTCCAAGGCATCGTTCGCGTCTTTGTCGCTGCGATTGAAGCGAAATCTGACGATATAACAGTCGGCGAGGGTGCTCAGAAGTTTAGGGCCCTCTGTTCGCTGAAGCATTACTTCCTTGATACATGCTAGCTCCGAGATGGAGCGGTCGATGTCCGCGACGTTCCCTTGATGTCTCCCGCGGCGTAACAGAGCTTTTGACAGCTCGAGGATAACATCGCCGCGTTCGACATGATCGGAAACCATCGTATCCAGGACGGTGTTGCCGAGGGTAATCGCTTCTTCCAAAGCCTCGAAGGAGCCCCGAGCGTCAAATAACATGCAAAGACGGGATACAGCTTGAGCAGAAACATCCGGATAGAACACATGTGAGGTCCCATTGCTCGCCAGGGCCCTACGATCCCATTTGATGGCTTCATCGAGATCAGAGATGCGCCTTGTCTCGTTGAAGCGGAGCATCAGTGAATGCGCCAGATGGCGAGCGGGAATGAATCGCTGAGGGTGGGTAGTTGGAATTGAATCGATTGAAGAACGCCCGAGTTGAATAGATTCTTCGAGACAACTTATCTCTCCGGTCCAGTTGTACTGCAAATACAATTTGCGCGCCAAGCTGCTCACGTACATCCAATAGTGTGTGTGGTTGGGAGGGCACTGTTGCAACGCTTCCCGGTTCAGAGTGACTGACTTTTCGAGGTAGCGCCCATCGGATGGAGCGAGCTGATGGTGAAGGTCGAGAAGACCTGCTACCACACGGAGGCATCTGACGCGCCCCTTTCCAGCACCGGAGACTTCTTTGAGAGTGTTCAGTCCAAGTTCAATCGCTTTGTTGAGCTCATCGATAGCGCCAGAGCGCGCAGCCTTCGCATATAGCGCCCAG